GCGTCCCATCCTCCCCATCCTTGCAGATCCCCGCCGCCACCGGCGCCGAGCGCTCCTCCCTCGAGTCCCAGCTCGCCGACCCGACCAGCTCCTCGGCGTCGGCGGTCAGCTCGGTCGAGAGTGAGGCGGCGTCGGCGACGGAGTCGGCGACCGCGACGGGGAATGTCGGTGCCGCGGGGGTGAGGGCTGGGAAGGGTGTGGGTGTGGGGATGGTGGTGGGTGGTGTGGTGGTTTGGGTGGGTTTGTAAAAGGTGTTGGGGGTGGGTGGGTGGGTTAATTGTGCTTTTGGTCTTTTCTTCATTTTCTGGCTTGTGTGAGGGTGGGAGCCTGGAGGTGATTGAGTAGTGGTAGTGGTAGTGGTAGTGGTAGTGGTAGTGGCCTAGTGGCTAGTGGCTAGTGGTAGTGGGTAGTGATAATGGCACTGGGACGACAAGATATTAAGTTTCTGGAAGGCTACGGGGGTGGTTACCAAGGGCAACTATTACTGCTACGGGATGGGCGTCCCCCAAAATAATCAACTACTCTGCTTTCTGCTTGGCTTGGAAAAATAAAACGGTTTCTGCCCTATTATCACGCAAATATTGGCTGAATGTGTTCCCCAAGCTCCCCGACCATGGACGCATTCCGCAAAACGACCGACTCGGCTATGGTATCCATTCCATCGAATGGGATTACTCGATCTCAAAAGCCGCGCGTTCTGGCGGGGTCTTTCCCTTTGCTGACGACGGTTGACGTCAACAATGGCCTGCCAGTAATCCATGACGTGGTCGGATGGGTAAGGTGATAGAGACTTGGCTGGGGGCCGAGTCATGAGAGAGTTGACGGACTCGTGCAGCTTTGGATCCTGATCGAAACACGGGCTGTCAAGGTTATCAAGCTCGATAGACCTGTGGTAGAAAATGTGGTAGGTAGCTGAGTAAAGTATGTTGCAATTTGTTACGGCAAACATGTATTATGTCGATGTTGTAGCTCACATGTCTTCAGGGGAAAACGGGCAACGAGTCAAGGCCAAGAAAGATTCCTAAGGGACATACTTTCCTTGACTATTAGAAAAAGGCATTAAGTGACAGCTCCATTCAAATACTTGAAAGCCGCGTGATGCATGTCTATCCGTTGTAGCAAGCCACGCATGACCACTATGACTATAACCATGACCATAACCAAACCATCTTTAAACGCCTAGCCGCTCTTCTTCCGGGTATCATTCCACAACGCATCCACGACCTGAAAAATAGCCGTCACATCCCTCATAACCTTCTCATCCACCGTCCCCCCAAGCCGCTGCTGCACCTTATCCGGATGCCATCGCACCCTCTCCTCCTTCAGCCTCGCCGCAAACTCCTTCTCCCCCACTTCATCCAACCCAATCCCCTTCACAAAAAACGCCCTCACCTCTTCCACCCGCACCTCCCCCGCCCCATCACGAATCCCACCCTCCTCCAACACGGGCCACGGAAAAACCCCACCCTCACCCTCCCCCTCTCCCTTCCCCCCCTCCCACTCCGCCCACCGCTGGACATACCCCTCCCACCTGACCCGCCACCCCTTTCTCCTGCGCCTCTCCTCCCCGCGACGCAGACAGCGCTCCATCTCGCGATCGACACGGGCCTGCTCGGCGGCCTCCTTCTCGGCCGCGGCGCGCTGGGCCTGGCGGCGGGCGCGGGCCTCCAGCAGCCCCGCGTGCGTCTTCTCCCACATCTTCTGGCGCACGTAGTCCGCGTACTCCTCGTCGGTCATGCGGTCGAGGAGGGAGGCGGCGCGGGGGACGCCGTCGCCGTTATCACTGGTGGAGGTGGTGTTGGGGTGTTGGTAGATGTGGATGGGCTGGCCGTAGACGGATTCCCAGTAGGCGGCGCCTTCGTCGTCGGCCATGGCGTCGAAGAGGGATTCGCGGAAGGCGGTGGTGGGGGAGAGCGGGGCGGGTTGGAAGGGGTCGTCGGCGTTGGGGTCTTGAGCGGGTGAGGGGGATTTGGAGCGATGTTTGCGCCGGCGGTGGTGGTGGCGTCGGTGATGGCGCCGGTGACGGTCATGGTCTCCGTCCGGGTCGCCACGCCGCCGTGATCGTCGTGGTTCGTCGTCGCTGCCTCCGTCCCTGTCGCGGGAACGCGATCGAGATCTATGCCGATGGCGGCGGCGGCGGCCGTCATCGTCTTCCTCTCCCTCGCGCCGCCGTGATGACCGGGACGACTTGGATTTGAAGCGAAACCTGGTCGTCCTGGGGGCACCCGAGTCGTGTCCCTGTGTCTCCGATTGGTTGTCCGTCATCTTGTCTTCTTTCCTTGGCAATTCTTCTTCTCGAGGTTCGGAAAGGCCCGGGGTCATTGTGCGGTCGCGTTTGTAATGTTTTGCTCCATCATCCTCGATGTTTGGTTCTGGCGGGTTGATAGAGGATAAAATCCGTCGCCGCTTAGGTGAGCGAGGCGAATCCATATTCGCAAGTTTTGTGGTTTCTGGTGGTTACAGACCTCAACCTGGAAAATGATGTTGCGCGCGGCTCAGGCTGTTGGGCGCTAACTGGACAGTGGGGACATTTTTCGGTGCCAAGAGAGAAAGTCAAGGCCCACAAAAAGCTACCCCTCCTTCTCCGTTTGTCCCCGCCCCCACCAAAAAAAATGGAGGGGCCATCCTCTCTCCCTTCCACAGTTGCCTCTTGCTTTCAAAGACAGCAACGTGTTTGTAGCACCTCGTCGTGCGACTTGATCGGTCTCACACCTCGGCCTCATTGTTCGGCCACACCTGCAACCATCCGCTTCTTCTGTCTCAGATGCGAACTCTCCGCTTCAAAGATCTCGCTTGGCCGCGGGGTGATTTACAGCAACCGGGCGCCATCGCGACCTGCTATCCGAAGATGGCTTAAACAGAAAGAAGCATACCGTTATATTCCGTGCTGGGTTAAATCTTCCCATCTTCAGTACCTCGCCCGTCGTCGCAGTATTTTATTTTGTGTTGTTAGGTGTCTTTGCCTCTCAACGGTCGGTTGGTTGGTGGTAAACCGCCCATCGATGCGTGCTTGTCCACGCATTGCACGCAATCTCTCGACTGCACCTGATCCCGTACTCCACCACTTGGGCACACTCTCGGTTCCAAAGCTCTGGAATGGTCCGCCGCGTGTGGACCGAAGTTTGACCCCTGCAGCCGGACCCGACGGAGCGGATGATGTAACGTCGCTAGCTACGGGACGGGAAGATGACGGTGCCTCCACCGCGACGCCGAGACGGCGCACAGATGGGGGTGCTCCGGACGATGCTCCGCTCGGGTTCAGTGTTTTCTCCCCCTCGTTCAAACATGCCCAACTTCCAACTTTAAGTTACGTGATAACTACGTGATCAAACCCACTTTATTACCTAGTTATGGAACGCACACAGAAGACAAGGCTTTGAAATCTGGGCGTTTGTTCCATCCTACACGAGGACTCCGCAACCCAACAATTTCCTTTCCCGCCGTCGATCAAAGTCTCGGGTTCGGAACCGTCGCTCGTTTTGGCGCCCGCCCAGCACTCCGATTACCCAATTCGGCATTGGAATCCTCGCGGGTCTCATGTTACTCCGTCACACGCGTGTTTGTGTTTCGGACATTCAGCTTATCGTCACCCGGAGTCACCAAGTCCATCTGACCAGCAGCTCCTTGGTACCTAGCCCGATGACAAACTCTGCAGGTTTTGGTTGGAAAATCAGGCCATGTTCACAGACACATGACGCTTGTTGGAAGTGCGGAACATCCGCGACCGGACGGTTTGGGAAAAACAACCGAGACATCAGTGGCAGATCTTGCAGACAACACGCAGATGGCGACAAACGCCACAGTGCCACCCGCCATCCACCGACTAACTTGCTACGAGTACAGAACAAAAGGGAGCCAACCCTCTGTTGGTTTTATTCCGCGCTACGCCAAGACAATTGTTGTCCTGCTTGCTCTGTTTCAGATGATTAGTTACCGCGCTGGCGGTGGGTGGGTGATGAACAGCGCAAATAGTCTCAACAGATCAGCGTTCCCACCCCCCTCCTTCTCGCAACGGTCCGCGGCCGATTCGCCCAAACCGACCGACGGCACGTTTCCCACCCACCCAAGCCGGCCCTGAGCCCCCATGGCGCGAATCACCCGCACAGCAGCCATGCAGCATGGGGGACTCACTCACCAACACCCAAATCAATGATTTTGTATGGCTGATATACGACAGCATGAAGTCACAAGAAGACTGCAAGACATTCTTCTTCTGACGGGTGATGGGTCGTCTGCCGCCAGAGAAGCTGTCTTAGCTGACGCCACCGCGGCCACCCCCCCCCTTCCTTTCCCCCCTCCCTCGAAACCGATGAGGGAGCGACCGTGCAGTGACATGCCGTGATTAAAACACGACACAACACAACAACAACGCCCGTGTTGCGCTGAGATGTTGCATCAGGGGGGCCAAAAAAGGGCCGAGACTTGCCGTCCTTCTTAGGCAAGGCGAGCCTTTTTTTTTTTTTTCTTTGCCTTGCTAGGGTCAGTTAGTTACTGATTGGGATTGGGATTGGGATGTCCTCGCAGCCAAGCCAAATAGTTGAGACGCGCGATATCAAAAGTGCTGATGCCTCCATCCTCCATGGTATTCCCGGAGGGGAGGGGGGGCTACCCGCGCTGGGGGCGGTAACGGCGAGAGGGCAGAAATACCAAAAAAGAAAAATACAAATTAGCTTCCAACTCGGCCCCCACCAAAAACCCCAAAAAAAAGGGCACGTTAGGCGCTGCAGACCAGCCAAGGCACGCGACCGAGCAGTGCCGCGGCAAAGCATGCAACAGCAGCAGGCTGACATGCGTGACGAGCGCCGGTGTCGGGCATGGGATAGGAGAGGCTAAAAACAACAAGAGTCAACAAAAAAAAAAAGAGGAGGATGTGGCTCAGCAACTCGCCCAGGCCAGGCCAACAAAAGTATCAAATAGGAATGCCGGTGGCAAAGGGGACAGGCGGTTTTGGGAATAGCTTCGAGTCACACAGCATTGGCATCCGGGAGGGCGTGTGTGTGACAAGGCCGGGTTGGGATCATTCTAGCTAAGTGTTTCTGTTTTCGTTGTCCTTCCCCTTCGGGAACGGTTCCTGCCTCAGTCGGGCAGCTCTCTTGTCTCTCTCTTGTCTGAGAAAAGCGGACCTGTCCGAGACAGACTTTTTCCTCGGCGTTCGAATTACCGAATTACTGAATACACCGCCGGACGCATGAGGTGATCATACGCATGTACGTGCAACAGGATGTGCAGTTTGCTGCCTTAGGGTGTTTCTCCCCAGCTGCCAACTCCAACCTTCCCGTTCTCCCCCTTCCTACCCCCACCCCTTTTCCCACCCTCGGTGTCACTATCCATTCCTCAATCGCCCTCGTCCCCCCTCCCCCCTCGCCTTATTCGTCCGCGCCCAGTGTGAACCGCCTTGCTTCGGTCTGTTTGGGTATCCAATGGAAAGAAAATGGCGACGGTGATCAGTACGCGAGCTAGTGGCTGACTGGCTGGGGGAAATAGAGGAGGGGGGGAAATAAAAAAATAAAAATAAAATAAAAACAGACTTTTTAGACCAATCTGGTATCAAAATGCTCCGCCCCTCGCTAAACAGATAAACAAAAGGAGACGAGTCCTGAAAAAGGAGAGACAGGAAATTATATACGAATGCCGCCCAATTATCGACAAACAAAAGCCCCGTAACACCGTAATGACCTTCAAAATAAACTCAAAAGAAACTCGAACACCGTGCCAAAACCCCTGAACCCCTCGCAGCATTTGTGCTGGAAAATGTAGAACAAGCAAAGCCAAACCTGATGAAACACGAGATGTAGTTAATCCTATGCATGCGCGGGTGGGGAAGGTGGTGATTAGTAGGTAGAAGGAAATGGTAACCCAAGCAGGCCATATGAGTGTGATGTACGTGTGTATGTGTGTGTGGAGGTGAGAGCAAAAGAGCGAAAAAGAAATGGAAATAGACAGATGAGGTAGAACTCTTGGTTTTCTCTACCCCCGTAATGAACCCGGTTGCCGGTTGCCCTGGCAGATCTTTGAGGCCTCTAATATGACCCGAACTGCAAAAGGAAAAATGAATGACGAGAAAAGTGGAATGGGTTGATCCAATGCAATCTTGAGGCCCGAGGGGGCTTCGTTTGCGTCGGCGGTGTGTGTGTATGGTGCTGATTTTGTGTGACTGTGCGCGCCGCTTGTTCATCGCCGACAGGATCCGAGACGAGCGGCATCCTGCGCGCAGTTTTCCGGAATTCGGCCCATCTATCACCTGGGGCCGCCCTCCGTTTCCGGGCGCGGGTCGGTAGCCCACCCGGTCTCGTGAGGGAATCTCCTCGACCTGATGTAGGGGCTGCCGGACTGGGAGGGAATCCCTTGCGGCGGCGGCGCGGTGGGGACGGGTGGTGGGGTTGTCGACGGTGTTCGAGCCTGATCGAACCGCAGCGGCGGCAACCGCGCGGCGCCCAGGGGCGGTGTAACGTGTGGCGACGGGGGGATGCCGAAGGAGGAATGCGGGGGCGAGGGTCCCGTAATGGGCGGTAACGTCGTCGGAGTCATGAGGTTGTATGAGGTAGTTGGCAGCTGCGGTTCGGAATCTGTTCTCCTCCGCCTGGCGGGAGGTTCGAGTGAGGACGAGTCGCCATAAGAACCAGACCGCGGGTGCGTGTGAGCTAGCGGATGGGCCAGGGGTTGGTAGAATTGAGCCTGATGGTGTTGAGGCTGGGAGTGGTTATGAGGAGGAGGCGGCTGCGGCTGGTGAGCGAGCAGGGCGTTGCCGTCGGAGGGAGGGCCTCCTGCCGTTCCCGAGACCGGGCTCGGTGGCCCCCGACCGATCCACTCGCTGCCACCGGGCATTTGAGTGAGAATATCTCGTAGTCGGTTTCGTTCGTTCCGGTAAAATTCCCGTTCAGCTTCAAGGGCTTGGAAGCGCCTGGCAAGCTCCTCGTTTCTCCTCTCCAGCTCCCGGTTCTCGTTTTCCAGCTTCTGCAGTTCCTCTTGTTGCTCCTTCTCGCGCTCCTTCTTCCGCTGTCGGAACCTTGCTGAGGCCCCTGCGTTACGCTGCCGTTTCTGGTCTGCCTGCTTGGAGCCCTGATGGACGTCAATGGGGACCACGATCTCATCGCCATGCCTCGGGGTAATGGTCAAGAGTGGTTGCCCTTCGCTCATGCCCACGTTTCCTCCCCCGCCAGCAGGCATCGACGGAAAAAGCCCGGGCCCCCACCTCGGGTCTCCTAGAACCCCCGGCGCACCATATTGTTGACCAGTAGGCAGCGGCGACGCAAATGGGGGTCCCAAAATTACCGGTCGCCCATTGTGCTCACGTTTTAGGCTTCTAGGCTGCGGTGGTTCGGAGGTTGGGGTTGGGGGGGGTTCATGGCTCAAGTTGGGATGCGAAAGCGAGCGGGAAAGGCCAGATGTTGGCCGGGTTGGTGGGGGTGCCGCGGGTCCCTGTCCGAGGGTGGAGTTGCGCAGCTGCGGTGGTGGCCCCAGGGGCGAAGGCGCGCTGCCGTGTGTCTGGACATCATGTCCCGAGGTGGCGCCTCTTTGACCAGGGGTCGGAAGGCTCGCCGTGAGATGTTGTGCGTCCACTGTCCTCATTGCAGCTCGGCTCAGGCCCGCTGTCCTAGGCGATTTCGGCGTCAAGATTCGCCTCGCAGCCATGGGGTACGGGTGGACAGCCTGGGGGGATCCCCGGTCCGCCGACGTAAGCGGCCTCGCCGGAGACGTTGTCGAGGGGATGGCCTGGTGTGTTGACCGTGGCGTGGTAAGGCCTGGCGTTTGGTAGGCAAAGTGATGGGACGGAGATCCCTCCGTCCCGTACTGGCCAGCTCCCATGCTGGGTGGTTGAGTCCCTCCCGAAGTCGAAGGTTGTGAAAGAGACGGTGACTGCCCAGGCAAGCTCCCGTATGAACCGGCCGGGTTTGGTATGTGGCCCAAACTCCCGTTTCCTCCTGGTTGGTTGTTCCCCTCGCCTTGAGTTAGCTCGAAGCCGCTGGGATCACGAAGCGGCGGTTGTGGTCTTGCGTCATCTCGGTAGGCACGGCTTCGCTGGAGAGGGGGGGAGGATGCGGTATTTGTCGCTGTCGCTGTCGCCGGAGACTGCGAGGAATTGCGAGAGACTGGGCGAGGCGCAGAATCCCCCTGCGACATCGCGGCCTTATCCCCTTCGCTCTTGAGGTCCGGGGGTCGCTGACATTGACTTCGGCGGGTGCTTTCAAGTACTGTCTCCCCGGTGGGTTCCTGGTCGGAACCAACACCCGGTGCCCGGCTCGGGGGAATGCACACGCCCTCGCTGCAGTGAGCCGTAGACAACAGCTGGAAGGAGAGAGCACCTACCCAGCGCCGCGCTGGGACTTCGGTCCACTGGGAAACCGACTGGATCGCCACGCTGACGGATTGGGATCCGGGACAATGACGTGCGTGCTGCTTTGCAGGCGCGGGCAAGCGGCCGAGCCCAGATGGCAGCAGTGGCAACAACCTCGTCTGTTGAACGGGGAGGAGCGTGGCCCGCTAAAGGGATCGGAATACGGGCCACGGCCACGTCGGCGATGGAGTGTCGAAAGATGGTCCCGGGGTCAAGCCGCGGTAGGGTGGGAGCAGGCGCTCAGAGAAAATGCAGAAGGTACGTGTCCGGGGACCGCAGCAAAGAGATGTGCTAGCTTACGTCAAGCCGGGGGTGTGCCACACAGACACCGGTGAAGCCACGCCGCGGGCTAGTGGGACGAGGGAGAAGCAGTCACAGGTGACTCGGAGCCAAGCATAACAGACGGGAGGTGCAGAGCGGCAGCGGAGCGATCGATACCAGAATCGTGATTGTCGCGGTGGGCCGGAGTCTGATGAGTTGCGGGCATACACAGCCAGTGGTTGTCCTCAAGTCGACTCTGGGCTAACCTACTGGCTCCGGGCGCCGGAATACGCTAGGGATCTTCCCGTCGTCTGAATGGACACCCAAAACAACAACGGCCGGGGCACTCGCTCTTGGTTTCTCCTGGACCGCACGCCCTCGTAAGTAGCGGAGGAGTAGTCCTGCCTTTTCGTTTGGCAAATCTCGAAGAGCTCGGGGGCAGAGAAGCCGAAGCTTTGGCTTGGGCCAATGCCGAGCTTTTCGCGGGGCGGTTATGGTGTCTCAATATCGGAACCTGTACGTATAATGGATGTACGTACCAACCATGTACCGTTTGTCGAGACGCTTGGTCCGTTCTTTTGGCCTGGCTGAAGGGGGTGTATGGAATCCTTCAGAAACACGCCGTTGGAAAGAGAGCTTGGTAATAACTAAGCCCGGGCTGATGTCAACCAGCAGCGGACTTTAAGAAGCAGCAGATTTTCATAGCCCTGGTCCTTTAGGGCACTTTCTGCGTCCACCGGTTTTCCTCTCTACAGGTACCTCACGGCGCGGGCAGATGACAGCCCACCCTCGTCGCCCGGGGGCACAGCCGTCCGTTTGGAAAACCGGGGTGCATGGGGCCAACAAGGGGGGGCCATGCTGCGTGCGCAGACCACAACCAGGGCGGCTTGGACGGATGCTTCCTTTTGGAAAATTGGTTGGCTGAGATGAGTTTCTCATTTTTCTTATTTCTGTAAATGACGGGCAGAGGCAATAACGGTCTTGATGACGACAAGGCGTCCCGCAGCATCTGCTACAGTGAATGCCTTGCGGCACTCATGCCCATCGCCAACCCGGGGTGTGGGGGGAAGGGGGGTTGATTGACCGCCCTGACACCTTGAAACCCCAAGAACCGGCCCCGAGTTTATGGAATCGTGGCTCGCACCACGCGTTCGTGGTCCTTTGCAAGTCCTGCAAATCCGTCCGACTAGTGCAAAAGGGGCAGCATCGAGACTGACGTTTCTTGGCGGCTTGGCAATGATCACCGCCGGCGGCTCTCTCTGCATGGCATCGTCCTGGCTGGGTGGTCCCCAGACAACGGGTATCTCGGCCTGGGGCCACCTGAGAGACGCCCTGGTCCATGCAAGACGGGAGAGACGAAGCGAAAGTGACAAAAAGACGCGCGCCTCCTTGGTCGATACGAAGACGTTTCGCGCAAGAGAAACGGGCTTGGGAGAGTTCACATAGCCCGGCAACTGTGTGTGGGAGGTACCTCAGTAGTCGTACATAGTCAGGTACCTCAAGTGGGAGCGGTAAAGTGAAAATGGAGCGAGAAACGCGCTCACCGACAAGGCCGCCACGAAGCCCTGTTTGGTAACCGTGGCGGATCCTTGCGGCTCGCTGTCTGCATCGGGTTCGTCATGTCACATTCTCGCACATGTTCTGGAGATGGACTCAGGAGTTACAGAGTGACGCGACCTTTCCAGGGTCCGGGAGCAAGGTAAACGTGCCGAACCAAGCCAAGGACGACGGCAAGAGCGTTGACGGGAAACCCTGACGTGTCGTCATCTGGGGCACCGCTGGGGATTCTTGGCTGGCCCATGTCGAGGGGTGATGCGAGATGAGATCTGCGAGGCGAAAAGTGTGCGTGTGCGTGTGTGTGCGTGTGTGTGTGTGTGTTGTGTGTGGGCGTGTGTCTGGTCTGCTTAGTCTGGGTGTGCCTGGGGGTGTGTTCGTTGACCAGGCATGACAAGCATCCCGCGCCCCATCACCCTGTCAAAGCCCGCTGGATGTTGCCGGATCCGCACTCGGAACCGCAAAAGTGGCTGATGAGTCCAGACGCTGCCGCAGCTCGGCAGACACGACACAAACAACTTTTTGGGCTGGCGGGATCCGACATGTCCGTCATCACCCATGGCGCAGGCAGGCTCGGCAGGGCGGGTCTGAGCACGCTGACGCGACAGAAACGACGGCCCAGAATGATCCCGAGACTTTTCTTCCCCTGCAAATGGGCTAATGTGACCGTGGTTGGGTTGGCGGCGAGTGCCCGGTTATGGCCGCCGCGAAGGAGCATGCGAGTGATCAAATAACTAGCAGAATAAACTATTGGAATCCACCCGCGAACCCATGAAAATCCACGGTGCGGGCGGGTCGCGGGGATGGGCCGCCGAGCGTTCTTGACCAGTTCGTGCCGGGATGTGGTGCGGGTGGAGAAGGCAGATGGCGAGCGTGGCGTCTTCTCATCAGCGTCTCGTGCCCAGCACATGGAACCGAAAATGGAAAACGGGGCGCCGGCATGGCGTGTCGATGAGTTGCTAGGATGCGAGGTTGCCAGGTGGGTGGGTGTTTTGGCAATGGCAATGTGTTAATTAGTGTGCTTCGAGTTACCCAACTAAATAATAAAATTGTTTGTCTGGCGGAATTTAGTGCAGATTTAGGTCGATCTTACTGTGTAGTGTACGTGTAAGGCACCTGCCTCGACTCTGTCCCTGTACCTGCCCGTAGAGAGCAAGAGGGCACCTGGCACTCAAAGATGAGGTAGGAGCAGCCTGACGCATCTTGGCTCCTAGAATCGACATGATCCGCGTGGCTCTTTCCAGTTTCTGCTTTTATTCTTCTCATTTTCGTGTCGAGCGCACAAATCTCCGGAAGGCGTGATCGTTGCCGATGTTGCATCGACACTGGTTGGCACTGTGTGCAATTGGAGCACCCGAGTGCCATTTTGCCCGCGTGGTTGTGTGGGGAGTTCAAGGGAGTGCACAGCAACGGCCAAGCTAAAAAGGATTAGCGCTTTCCCGCCAGAGCGTTTTGGCCCCATGGATGGATGGATGGATGGCTGACGATGCTCGCGGAATGCGGAACACGAACAAGGTAGCCCTACGCTAGCCTCAAATAACGTCACTAAATCCCACGCTCTTGATTGCTGTTGTCCACCGCCATCTGGCGTTTGCGATCAGGCATTGAACACCAAAACCACCTCGCCTCGGCATACCCTGGTCGCGAACCCCGGACGCCGAAGCTGCCCGTCGAAGGGACACAGTACATCTGGATCTACACACACGGAAGTTTGTTTGTGTGTACACAGTATGCTGCGAGCTGCCTTGGGTACCTCCCTCAATGTCCGGTCAGGTACCAATCAAGCACTTGGCGACTTGGAAGCACGGTGGCACCCGCAGTAATGCAGTCGACCTAGTGTACTACGAGCATGTCAACATCAGATAAAAGTGAGTTTGAAGATCTGAACTTCCCCCATCGGATCATTTCTGCAACCCCGGACGCGCGTTGCAGAATCGGGAGTCCAGTTATACCGCACAGACCTCCCACGAGATCGCAAGGCCGCTGCTGATCGTCGCTCAGTGCCGTTCAGCTTTGATGCCGCCCCGATGGTAACTAATAGTTAACGAGGGCGGGCGGGAGCGGGAAGCATTCGCGAGAACGGAGCCTGCTTGGGGCTGGACCAACGCTATGAGTGGAAGCTTCGGAGGCTTCCAACGGATCGCTTCCTTCCCTAGCTGTTTCCGGCAAGCTCTCGCTCGGCTTCGACAACCGCGGGCTTTGGGTCGACCGGGTCGACCACGCAACGGCCCGGGATATTTCAGCCGACCGGTGTCTGAACCTGGTCTCCGATTGGCCATTGGCGCGCTTCCATGTCCACCTCGGTTTCAACACCCCCATGTCGGTCGTCCGCGAGCCCATTCTCAGTCATCCATGCCCATTGCCCACTACCACCCTCGACAATCCGCTCCTGCAGCCCGCATTGACGCCCGATGGAAGCTGTTCGGTTAGCTTGGGCTGTCGTGCAGATAGCGCCTGTGCGCCGCATTCTGTGAAGACATCATCACATGTGAGCAGCGGCTGGCTGCCGATCCGAGCTGTCTTGGCCTGTCTCCCGTCCATAAAGAAAGAGTGAGGCTACTGCCGGCGAATTCTGCGGCCTGTGATGCGACCCCAAACGTCAACAGAGGCACGGCATCAAACCAACCACAGCCTTGTTGTGTTTTTTTCAGTTGTGTTGGGATACCTGTTTTGGACAGAGGCTCGGAGGCGCCGAGCTGGCTGAAACCACGGACTTGGTCAACTCAAGCCATGTCCACACACACCGCTCACAAGTCTGCCACGGCATGCAGACTGCAGAACCACTCGACCTCAGGAGACCGGGAAGCTGCACAAGACACACCGACTCGCAAGAGTACGACGGTTCAAGAAGTGGGGGTTGGTGTAGCTTCAAGAAACCCGCCGCCTTGTTCACCGCATCGGCTACCGACCGACCCTAGCTGTGGTTTGGATGTACATACATACATGTGCGCTCAAAAAACTGCGCATGTGACGGATGGACAGCGGCGCGAAGAGTTCATCCTCTGTGCTTCTATCAGATTCCTCGGCAGGAAAGCGGCGGAAACCCGCACCACCATGCGAGAAGCAAAATATGAAACACGGGCGAGGCGTTCCTCGAGACTCAAAAGCAAAAGGTGGAGTGGATTTCTGCTGCGTTATCAATCGGCGCCGACGACGGGGATGGTTCCTCCAGGAAATAGAGGGACCTCCCCCAGAAGGTATACCCAGAATTGAAATGTCTCACACCTGGAGACCCCCACGGGAAGCCAAATCGAGGAGGGTGACTTGCACCTTGTCCAGATCTGGAGCCCCTGTCCACCAGTCACGGGACCCTGCTTTCCCAAACCGTCGTCCTCATTGCCTCTTTCTACTGCCAGCGCAAGGCCGAAGACCGCTTCAACTCGGCGTTCCCGTCTTGGAAGCTCGACATCAAGTCATCTCTTGGCCGGTTTCGCAGCTGCCCAACCAGCGTGCCGGGGACAGGTGGCATGCATGAAAAGGGCGCGACCGGTTCCTGGGGTTTGTCCGTGTCTGTGTGTGTGTGTGTCCGTGAGTCCACCCACGGGTGTCCATCCGTGCCAGCTCAGACGTCACCCGCAATTCCATGGACCCAGAACAACCGGGCAATCCCCGAACAGCGGGCATGCAGCGATTGCATGCAGCTTGGTGTGTGGGGCACTTGCATGCGTCGGAACCTGCAAGCGCGCCAAAAACCGCCGTACCGCGGCCTGTCCTTGCGCCCAACGCAACCTTACCCGCAGGGACCGAAAGGAGGTCCGCGCACAAAATCAGGGTGCTTCCCATTGAGAGAAATTGAGAGATTGAAAAATTGGGAGATACCCCGGGTACCGTGGTTGCTCAAATTCGACCATCGCATCGAGTCAATGACGATGATAGTGACACAGGAAAAGATGAAAGAGGGCGCGGGCACTTTATGACTCTATCCCGCTGTCATAACCGAAGAGAGGATAACTGGGTATACCCTCGGCACCCAAGATGCCAACATGAGGTGAGGATGTGGAAGTTCTCGCAATGTGCCAATTCGGGCACATGCACATTCAAGCCCCCCCCAGGACGGCAGTTGCCGGGATCACATTCCGGCAACGGGAGAAATTCGCTACTCGCTCCAGAAAATCAAGATCGTCTGTGCTTGAGTTAACACTCCTAAGCGAGGGAAGGAACGAGGGCACTTCGATTAAGGGAGCAACCATATTCGTATCATACATGAATCAGTGGAAGGAATAACTAATGGAAAAAGACTCCATCCCGATGGGACGCGGGACAACCACACACAATTTGGAAATTTTACTTAGCACTTTGCGCCCCACCACCCTGGCCGATGGAGATTCGCTGTCCAAAGGTTTGTTGATTGACAGGTTTGACCACAGCAGAAGCAGCACCAGCACCAGCAGATGCACCCGCGCGCGCATGGGATGAACCTGCAGTGCTGCACGACAACTCTGAATTTCGGAAGTGCTCATGCAGCTACACGACAGCCAATATGCGCTTCCACGTCATGCAGGTTCCCTTTTTGCAGGCCAACACCGAGGTGTCGATAGCGGGTTCAAGATGAATGGTTGGGGGCGAGTCTTTGACATTATGTTTTTCGTACTTGTCATGGTCTTTCTTTTCCAGTGGATAGATGTGGGCATTGAGCGTGATGGCGGGAAGTCCAAACTCTTCCTACCTGAACTAGCACCCTCTGAACGTCGGTGTCGAAAGTGGCTGTTCCCCGCTCCGATTCGGCACTCATCCAACTTGATGCAGACTCCGACTCCCTTCTTTCTGCCCGGCCTTTCGGTCCCCGGCCGGGGCGGCATCCCAAGCCGTCGTCAAAACGTGTCCCCGCCGGTATATTCCCGTCGGCTGTCGACATCAACCGCCGCAACGGACGGATGTGAGGGCCGCCATCCGTACTAGACGGTCTCCAAAATTGTAACCACGCGAGTCGGGCCGCTCCCTCAAGCTCCGCACATGGAGCCGAGGCCAGATGATAAAATGTGAGGCCCCATGACCATTGCCATTGCCCATTGGTGGCAACCTGCTGCAACTACGAATATTCTACCTCTTTACTCCAAGGCGGTCCCAAAAATACGGAAGTGTCCACCCAGTAGGAAGAAGTGACCTCATCCACCCACTCACTAGGTAGCTACACCGTGACCCAGAACAACCACCTCCGGCCGACTGACTCCCTCTCTCACGCCGAAGCCACGACAACAGCAACAACAACAACAATGGCAAACAGCCAGAACATCCAGCAATGGCACGTGAGCGAGCCGTACCTGGAAACGCACTGCTCGCTGGGTGAAGGGCCCTACCACGAGCCAGCCACCAACACGCTCCGCTTCGTCGACATCAAGAAGAAGCAGCTCCACTCCGTTTCGCTCACCGAAGGCCCCTCGTCGCTCAAGACGCTCCAATTCGAAGAGTCCGTCACAGTCACGGCCGACATCGAGGGCCGGGACCCGCAGGAGACGGTCGTGGTCGGGGCGAAGCAGGGCCTGGCGGTGCTGGATAGGAAGACGGGGAGGTACGAGTACGTGAGCAAGTTTGGGGAGGAAAAGGGGGAGCGAATCCGCAGCAACGATGGCGTGGTGGATCCGAACGGCCGGTTCTGGCTCGGCACCATGACGGATTTCGGACTGGGCGCTTTCCAACCCGAGGGTGAGTCTGCGTTTTCTTTTGCTCTTGTTGTTATTGTTTGCGGCCGTCGGGGCAGTAATCATACCTGCCACCATCCACGTGGCGAGCTGCCAGACCACCGAACGAGACGAGAGTAACGGTGACGGCCACATCACACACCTGTCTCCCTCTCACCGGCAACTTCTTGCCGTCGCCCTCGTCCGCAAACCACCACGTCGAGCCGCCTCGGTCATGCATACATACCTACATGCCATGTGGCCTGACGTACTTCCACTGCAACTCTCATTCGAAATAAACATCCCGAACCCTTACACCAATCATTTTCCATTCGACCACGCACGCCCCCCTCCCTCCCCTCTTTCCAGCTTCCAGCCTCTCTCTTTGGCTCCAATTAGGTAGTTAACCCTGCAAAAAAGGGTCCCTCTACTGCTTCGCCCTCGGCACCCCGGCAACGCGCTTCCGCGCCGGGCTCACCATCCCCAACTCAATCGGCTTCTCGCCCGACGGCCGCACCATGTACTTTACGCACTCGACCGCCCGCGAGGTGCTGGCATGGGACTACGACGCGGCCGCGGGAGGCAGCCTGTCCAACGAGCGTGTCTTTTACCGCCACGACGGGCCCGGCGAGCCCGACGGCTTCCGCGTCGACACCACCGGCAACCTGTGGCACGCCGTGTACGGCGAGTCGCGCGTGCTCCAGATCTCGCCCGCGGGCGAGCTGATTGGCCAGGTCAACATCCCCACGCGCAACGCGACTTGCTGCGAGCTGGTTGGTGGCGGGGAGCTGGTCATCACTACGGCGGCCGACGACGAGGGGGAGGGGGAGAGTAAGCGGCTGGGTGGGGCTGTGTTCCGGGTGGCGGTCGGCGCCGAGGGGGCGAAGAGGTTCGCGTTTAGGCTGTAGGTGAGGGAGTCATCAGCGGACTGGTCGGTGGCTGGTCACAATGGCTAAGAGGAGAGACGGTGGTGGACTCTCAATTATGTGGCCATAGACTTGAGATGGAGCCTAGACTAGAGTAGAGGGGCTGAGAGGTTGGTTAGACCTGGTGCTGGCATCGGGATGGCATCGGGGTGGTGTGGATGCTTTCTGCTCCTGGTTTAGCTCAACGGTCTGCGTTGAGTCGGCCTTGGAGTACACAGCATGTACATAGACAACCCTGCCCCCGCGTATCAGCACTATCCTGTTCTTTGAGAAGCGTGAACCACCCAGGTGCGTTTTGGGCCGGGTCAGAGGGAGGCTCACATGTCCCAACACCCCTACCCCCCTCCGTTGATGCGGAGAACGACGACTCGATGATGCGCTGATCCCCAGTGTACTCTCTCTTTCATCATGGAACCTGGGGGAGTTGGGAGTGCGTACGTGAACAGCGGTTGGGGGTCCCCGCCCATCGCAGTGACGAGTGCGGTAAGCATTACGAACACTGACTGGACGTTAACATCATGATGGAGAGGATCTCTCGTGGAGAGGTCCGATTTTTGGCCACTCATGGGTCGGTCCCTGGGCCCTTTCCCCCTCTCAGGCAAGAGGTCGAGGAGGCGTTGGCCCAGACGCGGTGTCGAAAGAGCTGGGCGCTTCGAGAACCGCGGAACGGGAGTCGCGTGTGATGAGCAGCACAAGGAGCACTGTTTTGGTTCGCCAGGACTGGATTTGGCTCCGCCGGTCATGATACGTGATGATCGCGGTGATCTCATGATGACTCCAAGTGGCTCCTTCTTCAACCACTGGCACGTCAGCAGGGCCGCCGTGGGGTGCGAAGCACTGTGATGTTTCTTGCACCCTCAAACCACTGGAGCCCTGTGATGCCCCTGTAGGAACGGAACTTTGTGGAATATAATCAGTCTGGACCATGGCAGACCCACCGCGAGTGACGAGCGAAAGCAGCCAAGGGGCAGGCTGCCTGCCATTTTCCGTTTTCATGAGGCCCGGCTCAGATTCCGAGTGGCAGAAGAAGAGCACGGGAACTTCGGCGGGATTTGCTTGGAGGGGAAGGTCGTCGGACCATGGCCGAGGCCCGGCCAGCGTAAAGCGAGGGGCACCGCCAGTTGGTGACGATGACGGCCAACGAGCGAAGCGAGCGGTGAGGGACTGGCCAACGAGGAAACTCGTGTGTGCCACCCCGGGTGATTGATTGTCCAGCCAAGGTAAACGAGTCTGAGGCTTCTTGCTAGCAAATCATATCTCTTATCTGTCATGTATTGGTGAAGCGGCATTGCCACTCCAGTGAGTGGACAGAGACGGAAAGTTTAAGTGAAGGCCGTTGATAAAATCGACATTTCTGATAATGTATCGCAACCGGGGACCCCGGGGAGGCTCGTCAAGAAAAACACATGACTACAAACGCTCGGGAAGAGAGGGTCCTTGACAATCCTAATTTTGGTCAGCGGCCCAATATTGGACTGGGATCCTAGCGAGTGGCCAAGGACCCGAGTGTAACCCAGGTACCGAACTTCATCCATGATTCTGCTGTCATTGTGGGGGTTCGAATACAGCGGGCATCTAGCAGCTGGGTTTGCTTCTGAGGGTATTCGGGCCAAAGTAAGTAGCTGTGGGCTCTCTTCCACGCACGAAGAATATTCGAGACGAGAGAGGGAGGAAGCAGCAGAACTCATTACACGGCAGATGCCGACTCACCTGATAAGAAAATTGCCAGGCTCATCTCAGAAATTCCGGTACTGGCACTGGGAAAGTAGTCCAATTTCAAACCAGTCCTTCCATCTCGTCAGCGTGTCCGTCGGGAGTCGGGAGGGTCGCGGTGCGGGGTGGAAGCAATGGACCTGGGGCCACTGAACATCCTCATAATCCATCCACCTTCCTATGGCGCAGAGCAGAAGGGCAAAGGCCGGGTTTGCCATTCTGTAGCTGCTTTGAAAAGGATTGAATAATACTCATATTAATCGGCTGACCTATTCACAATGGCCTCAACCTGGTTGCATTGTATCGTATTGTTTGTTGTTGGGTGCTGCCTTGGAATGATTTTTGAAATTCAATTTTGCGATGTAGATCGTGCGAGTCTCTGGAAAATTCCCGTCATCTTGCCTAAACCCCCCATCATTCCAATTGTTTCCATTATTCAAATGCTCTCAATGGTTCTTTCCCTGGGTTGAGTTTTGCATGTGTGAATGGCGAGTCGTCGCCGAGCGATAGGGTTAGGGTTTATCCGACCTTCGTGGCGGCGCAGCCAGTTGAAATCTGCGAGTTAAATCCGTCCTCAATCCTTCCCACTCACCCAACTGCCTCCCCTCCACCTTCCATTTACCCCAAGGCGCAACATCGCAGGCGGCACACAGTTTTATCATCATGGAGGAATCAGCTGGTCTGGAACTCTTCGCGCAATACTTGCAAGGGGACGATGACGTGGACTCGCTTTTTGGTGGCGGCGACCAGGATGGCGAGCTGGGTTCCCTCTTTACGGAACCCGCCGCCGAAGTTGAGCCATCAACACCGGGGCCCGACTGTGAGCCAGAATTGCCTTCGTCGCAACAGCGCCCCCATGAGGCGGCTAACCCTCCTGCGCAGCTCGACTCCGCCGCCGACCAACCGCCGACCCGGTCGGCTCAACGCCCCGCCCTTTCGCTGCCCCAGCTCTCGCTCCCCGCAGTCCCTGATCCTCTGGCTGCCTCTTTATTGCACCAGCATGGACACACTTCAGGTGACCTCGTGGTTAGTACACAAGTCTCTGCTTCTGCTTCTGGCTCTGGACCCGCCGCACCATCGCTCGAGGAACTTGACGATGCGGCCTTAGAAGCCGAACTATCGGGCCTCTGGGAGGCCGACGCAAGCGGCGAACAGCCTGTTAATGCTCAAACAGAAGACCAAGAAAGCGATCCCATTCAAGAGGAATTCCAAATCCTCACCACGCAAATACCGGGCTTTCGCTACGCAAATAGCAACACGAACGCGTTCATTCGCCTGCCGCGGCGCATCGACCTCAACCTCAAACATGCCGAGGAACTGGTGTACTACATCACACTGAGTAAACCCCCAAACTGATCTCCTATTTTTGTCGGACAATAGCTAACTAGTGCTAGACCGCCAAACCAAGGTGGAGGTGCTTTATGGCTACCTCGAGCTGAATGCCGCTGAGGGTAAGCGCCTTATGGCGGATATGAAGAAGCTCCTAAAAGAGCCCCCTCTCTCGGCCCTCGTCGCACAGCCCGCCTCTCGCTCCACCGAAACCAAAAGGATTCTGGTCAGGATGGCATTCTATATGCTAATTTCCCAGGAATGGGGCCGCACTTGGTTTGGTGAAGACCACGAGACCGCTGCATCCCGGAAATATCTCTGGCCCAGGGACTCGTCGATGTAAGGACACTCACCCTCTTCAGAAATACCGTCTCGAGGAAAATACTAACAAACTCATCTAGTCTTTTAGCCGGCTTCGTCACGATCCTCTACCGCGTTTACACCAACCGGAAGCAGGTGTACCAAGGCATCATGCGCGCGCAATCTCGGCTCCGGGAGGCAAACCCGTCACCACCACCGTCACCAGCCCCGTCGGCTCCACCTGCCGATTTCTCTCAAAGCCCATCGCCCGTGCCGGCGAGTCAGTCCTTCTTCGAGGTCATCGCCAAGGATGCGAGTGCCGGCAAGAAGCGCAAGCACAGCGAGGCGGTGCTTGGCATTAACCAAGTCCACTACGACGTCGAGGTCCCCGCCAACGCCCGGCTAAAGTACCACATCTACGTCAAGGACAAGAACGACGGTGCCGACCTTGCGCCGACCAGCACGTATCGGCACACCGACTACATGATTTCGCGCGGTGCCTTCTCCAGTCTCAAGGCTGCCTTCGAAGCCACTGGGCAGGACCCCGTTTACATAATTCACACTCCCTTTGGCAGGAGGGCAGTGACGAGCGAAGAGGAGTGGGAGAATGCTGTCTTGATCATCTACAATGCCAGGCGTTCGGGCGGGGTGGTGGAGGTTGATATTCTCATTTGAAGTGTTGTGCACGAGGATTGCACTTTGCAGCTGCTAGAGGGTTGGAATGGAAATGGTATTCAGGTGCATATCGATGGATGGGGTATACGGGGTAATGAGACAGCAGACTAGGCTGTAGACCAGGCGTTTCATGGGTTCACGGTTTCCTTTTCTTTAATAGAGATACCCGGGGAAACGAGACGAAGTAGATGGTTATGTGGGCGGAATCAATTGATAACGAGTGGCCCAAACCCTTTATCAATACGTTCTATGAAGTATCGTGCGAGGTGGTTTCGTTGCGTGATGCCCTCCCAATACACATTCCCATACCTTATCCCACCTAAACTGGGATGAAATGAAGCCGGATGGCGCACTTGCCTCTTCCCAATGAAAAGCCAGCGATATCTGAAACCAAAGGCTGTATTACCGACAATAATTCTACATAAACCACCTAGCCATGAACTGAGCTGACACTCTCCAATCAGGAAGAATCTATCTCGGTCTAGCAGACGCCAAACAATGCCCCCCTCCCAAGAGACCAGCAGCCCCAATCCAAATTCAACCAACCCATCAAACCGGATGGACGGGATATGCACGCTACCTACCCAAAAGAAAAACACCAAAGCCAAAGCCCAAAACCAAAGCCCAAAGCCCCAAATATGACACACCCTACAATCTTATCCTCCCTTCCCCCACCGTTACCACCACCACCAAACCACCCCCCTCCCCTCCCGCCCCTCCCCGCACCACCCTCATCATCATCCCCGCCCATCCACTTCGGCTTCTTGATCCCCTGCCCAAAATCCTGCAACCACCTGGGCGTGTCCAGCGTATCAATCGTGTTCTTGACGCGGTGCCCAAACGCCTCAAAGAAATTCTCATCCTCATCCTCCGCGGCAGCAGCAGCAGCGGCAGTCCCGCCCCGTACCGTCGGCGCGCGGCCGACCCGCCTCGCCGAGGTATTCGCCTGCGGTCGGCCGTACGATGGGCCGGTATCGGTGTAGCCACCCGCGTTGGGGGATGTGCCGAAGGGTGTGGTTGGTCCGCCGCCGGGGGCGGTGGGGCTGGTGCCGTCGCGGCGGCCGGCGCGCGGGATGGAGAGGATGGGGGCGGGACGCCCGCGGGTGCCAGCGCTGGCGGTGCCGGTACCGGTGAGGGCGTCGCTGCGACGGGCGCGGATGGCGGCCGAGGTGCCGTTGAGCTCACGCTCGATGAGGTCGCGGCCTTCGCGCCAGGAGCGGTTGCTCCAGGCAGCTCCGCGGCCGGTGGCGTTGCCGTCGTCGTCTTCGTCCTCGTCATCGAGGACGTCGACGCCGAAACCGACGACGCGCTTGACTCGGCCGTAGAGACCGAATAGGGTGGCGCATACGGGGAGGAGGATGAAGGCGGGGAAGAGGTAGTCGAACCAGGTGCCGAGCGGGGTGAGGTTGATGAGCTGGCCGAGGAAGTCGTAGAAGACGGTGTCGCGGTAGATGCTGCCGAGGAAGGTCATGAAGTTGTAGGTCAGGGGCACGCTGAGGCGGGCGACCTGGCTGGCGTACCAAAAGGCGGATTCCTGGGCGGTGTTGCGGCGCACGAGGGCGCGTCCACGCCAGACCTTGACCTCGGTGATGGAGATGAGGGCGGCAGCGCACATGTAGAGCATCCATATCGCGGCGACTGCCTGACCAGCGAAGCCGACTTGGCCTTTAGAGGCGACTTGGTGGTGGATGACGCTATAACGAATGACCGAGAGCTGCGGGAAGAGGCCCTTGACGAGTTCGGACCAGACAATGCAGACGGAGGCCAGAGAAAGGACGGCGGCCAACACGGTCTGGAAATACGGGACGAAGTGGTAGTGGAAGAAGAAGCGCGTGTAGGGCGTGAATATGGTGTGTCTGTCCCAAAAGCCTGCGCTGGGAGAGGCCTTGCCGAAATCCAACTTCTTGGAGGCTGCCGAGTCCAGAATTGCTTGCGTCTTGACAGCGTCTTGCAGCAATCGGTTCCATTCGCTGACGTATCTTGAGCGAGCGTGCCTCGCCCTCACGAGCCGCCTGGTAAGCTCAGCGAGGTACTTCTTGGTGATAACGTTCGGAAGCGGACTCTGATTCCCGGAGCCCCGGACAGCGGCCACTCGGCCGGGCTGCGACTCCGGCAGGTTCGTCATGTCGATCAACTCCTCGATCCAATCCTGGAAGAAGCTGGCACTACCGCCCTTGCGGCGACCAAGTTCAGCCACTTGCAACTCAAGGTCCTCCAAATCCATCTCGGCATCGTCCATCCGCTCGTAGACCCTGGGTGCCTGGATCTGGATCCGACGCAACCTGCCGCTAACATTGGCGTTGCGGAACAACCGTCGGGGTATGGAGACGAGGCCGTGGCCCATAAGGTAGATAGCCAGAATCAACCCCCAGCAGTATGCAAGAGCCATGACAGTGCTCTTGAGTGATTCGGAAAACCCGCCGTAGGATATCAGAACGTAAATGAGCCCGACGGCTCCAGACCCGAAGACCATGGCGTAGTATTGGGCATTCGCACGGAGGGAGTCGAGTATCTTTCCCTTTGGTTCTCGGTATCCAGAGTCTGAGTATTCGCCAAGAATGGGGAGGATGAACCTACACAACAACAAGACGAGTGAGTTAGGGAACCTAATTCGTGCGCCGGAGAGGTAGACAACGGTACGTACCAAGTCAAGGCAAAGGTAAGCCAGTACGTTACCCTCCACGACACCCTGAGGGTTCTCGAATTCAACCATATGCCCCTAGCATCAATGTCATCAACCATGGCGCTGGAAGCCAGGTCTATTGGCACCAGCAGGACCATGCTCGCGGGAAGCCATAGCGCAAAGAAGACGGGTACGAGGAGGTAGGCGGGGGTGGTTCGCAGCGGGAGGTAGTATCGGAGGATGAGGAGGGCGACGACGGAAATGCAAAGCAGCGCGATCAGCGCAAAGACGAGGGAGGGTACGGGCGACGGTGATGTCGCTATTTCAATCATGATGGTAGACTTGGTGTCGCATGTTCGAGAAAGATGAAAGTGTATCGCGTGGGCCGGATGGGCCGAAGGTTGGCCAAGGTTGACGACGGTTGGCTGACACAGCTGTTCAATTATGTCACAGGCACAGATCCCCGGGGCCTCCTTGGGGGCAGAGACGGGACCAGGCACGTGCCGCAAATTGATGTGAAAGGGAGCTTCCGAGCTTCTGACATTGAACTAAGACTTTGGGAAGATATAATTAGGTTGGAAGGGCTGATGTTTGTGATGATCCCATCACATCGGGCTGGTCTATGACAGAACGTTATATTGTTCCATTCCATGAACTTGGATGAAGATGGAATCCTAGAAGATTGGTTGTTATTTCCGGAGCCGTTCGCAGCAGCGATGAAATGCCAAGGACGCCGAGGAGAGATGCCCACTTTGATTGGTTACACACTGCCCCTGGTGATACCTTGCATGCGCATCTGCAGGCATCGTCACTCTTCGCTTTACACCTGAGGACAACCCGAGAGGCAAGCTCTTTCCCGGAGATAAAAGTTGAGGCCCAAATGATACATCAATGTACTGGAAGTTTCCGGTGTTGGTTTGGTTGCTCCCAAAACGTGGGTACCGTTATCAAGTAAAACAAGAAGAGAGAAGAGAGGAACCTGTACCGGAAAGTAACTCCATCAATCGCACTTGGCGGTTTGGGTTCGCGATTTGATCCCTTCCTTCCCGAAGTTGGGTGGAAGCAGCGTGGCAGTCCCCCGCCCTTGTGCAACCGCCTATCAGTTATCCGCATATATCCGCAGGAGGGGTCGAGGCAAACTGCTGGTATAAATGCAGACAGAATGGCCACCCGCTTGCCGCGAATCCCGTGTGCTTCGGTGTGGTTCAATCCCACTCGCAGAAACCAGTCAAGCAGATTCATCATTGCCGGCGCGTTGCGCAGCTTCTCCTTCACCCCACAAGCCCGACAACAAACCAACTCAAGGACCATGGAAGTCGACCTCTCAGCGCCGAACGGCAAGAAGTGGTCCCAGCCACTGGGCCTCTTCATCAACAATGAGTTTGTTAAAAGTAGCAACGGGCAGACGATCACCTCGGTTAACCCCACGTTCGTACCTCTCGTGCCCTCCCAATAATCAAGCCCGGGGTTCGTGGGTTCGTGGCTAACTATAACCCCCAGAACGGAGGAGGAGATCTGCTCCGTCTTTGCTGCGACGTCTGATGATGTTGACAAGGCGGTGGCTGCCGCCCGCAAGGCCTTCAAGGATCCTTCGTGGAAATCTCTTTCGGGGACTGACCGAGGCGCGCTGATGACAAGGCTCGCTGACCTAATGGCGCAGCACGCCGAGACACTGGCCACCATCGAGTCTCTTGACAACGGCAAGCCGTATTCTGTCGCTCTCAGCGAGAACTTGCCTGAGATAGTCAACGTTCTCAAATACTACGCGGGGTACGCCGACAAGAACTTCGGTCAGGTCATCGATGTTGGCCCAGCCAAGTTCGCTTACACGGTCAAGGAGCCACTGGGCGTTTGTGGCCAGATCATCCCATGGAACTATCCGCTGGACATGGCCGCGTGGAAGCTGGGGCCGGCCCTTTGCTGTGGAAATACGGTAGTTCTCAAACTCGCCGAACAGACCCCCCTCTCGATGCTGTACGTGGCACGGCTTATCAAGGAAGCCGGCTTCCCACCCGGCGTGGTAAACATCATCAATGGCCACGGCCGGGAGGCCGGCTCGGCACTCGTGCAACATCCCCAAGTGGACAAGATCGCTTTTACCGGCAGCACGGCGACGGGCAAGGAGATCATGAAGATGGCCTCGGCCAGCATGAAAAACATCACCCTCGAGACCGGCGGCAAGTCGCCGCTCATTATTTTCGAGGATGCCGACCTGGATCTCGCAGCCAAATGGTCCCACATCGGCATTATGAGCAACCAAGGCCAGATCTGCACCGCCACGTCTCGGATTCTGGTCCAGGAGAAGGTCTACGACGAGTTCATCAAGCGCTTCAAAGCCAAGGTGGAAGAGATCTCGGTGGTGGGTGACCCATTCGAGGAGACAACCTTTCAGGGGCCACAGGTGACCAAGGCGCAATATGACCGGGTACTCTCTTACATCAAATCTGGACAAGAAGAAGGCGCAACTATTGCCCTGGGCGGCGAACCGGCCCCGCAAAAAGGCAAAGGTTTCTTCATCGCGCCCACGGTATTCACCAATGTTAAGCCCAGCATGAAGATTTTTCAGGAGGAGATCTTTGGGCCTTGCGTGGCCATTGTCAAGTTCAACACCGAAGAAGAGGCCATACAACTGGCGAATGACACGACGTACGGTCTTGGATCCGCGCTTTTCACTCGGGACCTGGTTCGGGCGCACAGAGTAGCCAGGGAGATCGAAGCGGGCATGGTCTGGATCAACAGCAGCAACGACTCCGACTTTAGGATCCCATTCGGTGGAGTCAAGCAATCGGGGATCGGGAGAGAGCTGGGCGAAGCCGGGTTGGCGCCGTACTGCAATACCAAGGCGATCCACGTAAACATGGAAGGTTGATGGATCAAATCGAATGTAAAAACCTAGCTCACTCGAAATCATTCAATAATTTTGTAAGAATAATCTCAGGCTAACCTCTCACCTCCTACCACATGGGCTGGAAAGCCGGACTCCACGTGTGGGTGCCCGATTTGTGAGAACGAAGCGAAAGTTATCCGAAGGCAAGCTTGTTTACTCGATTTACTTTTCTTTCACTTGCTTTGGGAGATTTATCACTTTTATAGTTTTCTATACACGATCTTACTTTCCTTCGGAGTCCGGTTTTCTTCTGGCTAGATGGTGCCTTCCAAACACATTGCTCCGCTGTCAATCGTACATGTCAACGCTGGCGGAGTAGATCGGAAACGCCAAGGCGCCGACGTCATCCCCCGGAATCCAGGGTCTCCAGCGTTGAAGCTTTGGAGCTCTTCCTGGTCTAGCCTCTCCGCCAAGAGCCTAGAGCTGACGGGCACAAGTGATCGCGATTACTGATTGGATAGTTTCTCTGAGGACAGAGAAGACGCAAAACTCCACAGCTGAAGAGAGAGCTCCACGAGGCATCGTGGCATCGTCGTCATTCTGTCGCGGTCGCATTGACTTATTCGAGGACGGCATCTTTAATCGTCGGGCTCGCCTTTTCAACCACAAACAAATTGCTCGAGTCTCCCACGACTGCGGCGCGCCATTCCTAACACACCCGAATTCAACCAATCGCCGCATCCAATGGCACCCGCCATACCTTCAGCCGAGCTACGACTCTCGTACCCCTTATACGCCCTCGACTTCGACCCCGAGGATGCGAATCGCCTCATAGTGGGCGGCGGCGGCGGAGCTGCCCGGAGTGGCGTTGGGAACAAGGTCACCGTGCTGGATGCATCCCACGAGGGCACGCTGCAAATCGCCTCCGAGATCGAACTCAGCCGCGACGAGGACAGTGTCAACACCCTCGCTGTCGGCTCCCGCAGGAATAATTCGCTTCTTTTCTACACGGGGATAAACTCGGCGGAAGTCGATTTGAAGAAGGGGAAAAATGAACACTTTCAGGGTGTTTACCGCCGATCCTACCCTCCAAAGGCGAAGGCCTGACCCTAAGATCGCCGAAGGTTTCAAGGTCCGCCTTCTTTTTCGACCCACAGACAAATGAGGCGTATCAGAGATTGTTGAGGGATATCGGGCCGGGTCGGCGCCGCCGCGACAGGCACTATCGGCCGCGCAAAAGGACGCCCAGATCGCCATCTTTGACATCCCTGCCGCGACGAACAACAACCCGACACCCAAGCTCAGAGGCAAGGTGGAGCTTCCGAAGGAGGCTATGGATATGGACATAATGCAGATCTCGGAGGACGAGCACCAGTTGGTATATTGCGATGATTACACCATCTACACTGTGGTCATTAGCAAGACCACCACCAGTGGCCCACATTCGGTCTTTACGATGCCGATCGAGGAGGCGATCGGAGCCAAAGACCGCGCATCATTCCGGTCCATACGCTTCCTTACCCCGACGTTCGTGCTGGCGGCCGCAAACGTGCCCAAGGCGGGCGGCGCAGTGCTCCAGGGCTTCCGTCTACCCAAGCCGGCCCGACCCTGGGCAAGGGAAGAAGAAAGGAAGGGAAAGCCCGGCTCGCTATCTCAGCCCACCTTCCAAAGAGACATCACGCGCGTGACCGGCAAGGGCCGTCCAGAAACTCTCCCCGCCGGCCACCACCCACCTTCAAGCCAGGCGACCACGCAATTCGCCATCGCCGTGACCGGGCCAGGACAGCTCCATCACGCTGTACACGCTCGACCACCAATCTATCGGCGACATCAACCTCATCTCCAACCTCTACCCGATCACCACCCTCAAGGGAAGTCCACCTCGGCCCCATCTCCCGGCCTGGCCTTCTCCCCCTTCACACCGCCCTCCAAACCATCCCCAACCACAACCCCCCACCTCAAACTCGCCTCCATCGGCTCCATGGCCAACACCTGCATCATCCACTCCCTCCCCCTCAAACCCCTCCCCACCACACCAACCACAACCACCAAACAATCCCCGCGCTACATCCTCGCCCTCGCCTCCCGTCGCCCCTCCCCGCGGAACCTCCTCCTCGGCTCCGCCCTCGTCTTCGCCCTCCTCGCCCTCCTCCTGCAAGGCATCCTCGAAGTACGCGGCGCGTCCCGACCCGTCATCGGCGCCCGCTCCTTCACCCCCGTCACCTGGCACCAGCCGGGCCGCTTCTACGGCGTAGCCCCTTCCGTGGGCGGCGGCGTGCTGGCCGAGTATCACGATCTTGCGTCGGCGGCTGCTGTTGGTGGTGGTGGGGGGAAGGAGGTGGAGAAGGTGGTGGTGTTGCACCACCATGTTACGGAGGAGGAGCAGGAGGGGGTGCTGCGGGTGGAGGGGCATGATGAGGAGCGGCATGGGCCGGCGAGGGGGTGGGAGGAGCTGGAATGAGGGACAGCGTGAGGCGTGGAAGGGGGCGCTGAAGAAGGCGGGGCAGTGGGGGGAGGAGATGGGGGAGGCGGTGTTTAGGGGGGTGCTGTTTGGGGAGATTGCTGGGGTGGTGGGGGCGATGGTGGCTTGATTGAGGGGGTTATGGGATGGTATGGTATGGTATGTGGGTGTGGTTCGTGGCTAATGGGGAATGGTTTTGATGAGGGATGGTTTTGTATGTATGAGGCTGGCGGAGGATGAAGTACATGAGGCTGGCGGAGGATGAAGTACATGAGGCTGGCCTGGGGGTGGACTATGGATGGAGTGGGGAAGCTGTATTATTGTTTGTCTCCGTATATGTGAGTTTGCTTAGAAGAGTAGAGTGTATTAACACATTGTTTGCGCAACGGCGGCTGTTACTATAAACGGGAATCTTAAACGAGAACAAACCCAAAAGATGACTAAACCGTGACTCAAGACGGAAGCTATCGAGCAGGTAAAAATATCTCGGTGGGGTTGGGTTGAGGGAGGAAAGTGATGTTGAATGCTCCCGTCATTTTGATCCGTCAACAACACAACCCCCGGGTTCAGCTGGCTGGCTTGTGTTGCGCAATCCGCACACCGGACGCTCTTCTCATGTATGTTCGCTTACGGCCTGCAACCTGGAATCCTGTTGTCGGTGTCACCAAACAAGAAAGGCAGGCCGTCAAATGGCAACAAGCGGGAAGGAAAAAGCTAAAGTGAGTCGTGACTGGCACCTGCATGGCACGTTACCACGACAGCTCGACCGACGTGTCACGGTCCGTCGACGTGGAGTTGCCGAGTGGACGGGGACTCGGCAGGTAGGTTGGGTTCCATGTTGTTCGGGTCTGCTGCACTGCATGGCGAGCTTCCTACCTAGGGGTATGAGCGACCTGACTCGGGGTGACTGGGCCATTATTAACCCCGGTAGTATCGCACAGAAGCATGCTTGATGTTGCTTCTGCAGACACGGCAGACGGTTGATGCAGCATTGGCTCCTCGATTTAGTAACACTTGTACGCAGAGAATGGAAGCGAATGTGTCCCACCAGGCTGCAGAGGCACCTCGTACCTGACCGGATACTCGGATAGGTTGCAGGAGAGGAAGGGGAAGGCGCCCGTAACTTCCTCAGGTAAGGTAGGTTCTAGGTCGGCCCATGTAGGGTCCTAACCACGAAAGGTCTGATGGACATTGCTGAGGCCCCATCTACGAATATCCGTGTTGCTTTCCCAACTTCCATCGCAAGAGCAACGACTCAGGGGCAGCTTCCCAAATAGACAGCCATTGTCATTCAGAGCCGCGCTCTTGACCAAGTTAAGGCAAGAACACTCAACAACGCCCAATCACGAGTTGACCGTACCTGGCTTTTGTTTTTGCCAAGCGTCAAATATGCACTTTTTATTCCGACTCGTCGTGTTCGAGAGTCTCGACCGAACTCGGTTGCAATGCGCAACACCAACCCTTCCTCTTTCCCCTCATTCTGCAAGCCACTTACTTACACAACACACCTCTCAGCTTGCAACGCCATTCTCGCAACCCTTCTTGCTTCTTCGGTCTGCAGCCCGTTCGCTCCGCAGCTCCACAGCGATTATCGATTCGATTTCAGCCGGAATTCAAAGTCGTGATTTGGGGCGTCGTTTTTCGAATTTAGGATATTCTGCCGCGTCATCCTTTCTGCGGGAATACCAAGCTTTTAACATCAGATCCTCCCCAGCGCTCCAGATCTGCCGGAAAGCAGCCGCCAATACATGCGGCTGATCGTTGCAGTATAGGTTCTGATCCGACCCTTGGTTGCAGCCGAAGGCCACCGCATCCCGATGAACCTGGTCTCTGCAGAAGGCGGCAAGTCGTTTTGGTCAGCCCGCCGTCGGCTGAGTTAGGTACATACTCCTATGCAGACATGGCCGATCAGCGCGCGCGCCCTGCCGGCTCTCCCGCCTTTCCGTTCGTTTCGACCTTCTTACTTTCGAGCTCAACTTTGGAAGCAGCTTGCGGCCTGAGCACTTCCGAACGATCTGCTCGTATTAGATCGGGGCCTGCATCGCTTGCTACCCTTCGCTTGCTACCACTCGCTGTCTCCTCAATATCGGAATGCTAGCTGGATGCGAGGCTACCGTCACTCTGCTGGCCATTCCGGTCCCTTTTATATTGGGCTTGCGTTACCCGTCCCCCACCAACCCGCAGTCTCAGGCACGGCGCGGGCGTTCCTTGCGTTGATCACGTTCCTTCATTGGCGCGGCCGGAAGGCTTGCAAAGGTTACCCGCTGCGCTCTTTGCCCATGGAGTCACCCTACGGCCAAGTTGGCGAGAGGTTGCTTGCATACGAATACTTGTCGAGTACTGGCTGTTTTCTGACATCCCACGCCCGTCCCACAAAAGAGCGGAGAGTGATGGTTGCAGAAGAAAAAGAGGGCTTCGAGACCCGTTGGCGCGACAAGGTTACTTGCACCGAGCAGATGGACGGTAATATCGAAGCGTCCTTCGCAACGTGGTTGGCCACGGTGGCCCGGTAATGTGGCATCCACCACCCATTTATACTCCCCCAGCTCTCCTCCCATCGCCGTCCTAGTCTTTGGTCGTTCTCGTCTGCGACCCTACTGCATACGCATCGAGGGACCGTGCCGCTGCGGGAGTCTCTGTCCTTTCTGATATCATTGGTGGCCCCCGCGTTTATGACCTTCGTTCGTGTCTCTGATATATTCACTCGCTCAACTACGCCCTGTCGTTCTTTACGTGCTGCTTGTGTTTGGGTGTCCAGACGTCATTGTCTTCCCCCCACCTGCAGAAGATAATATCGACAGTGACCCACGATGAAGCTGTCGTCTGCCATTCTGGCCGCCTCGCTCGGCTTGGCGTGGGCTCATGACGACCGCGGCCAGCACGTTCCAAAACTGTTGGGGTTGCGAAAGTTTGTATCCGGACTGGAGGCTCGGAGGAGGGCTGCCTTTGATGAACAACCCATTGCTGCCAGGAGTCAACACCTGCCGGCCAACCAACGACGGAGTCTGAAAGGACGGCAGGATGACGACGATAATGAAGGACGATGCGGGCCAGGCATTGGGGCCTGCCCAAACGGGGAATGCTGCTCTTTTGAAGGGTGTGATTACCTGTCTTTTCTTTTCCTTTTTGTTTCAAGCTACGAGCTAACCAACGTGGTAGATGGTGTGGAAGGGGTTTAGATTACTGTTCCGCTCCTGACTGTCAAATCAACTACGGCTCCGGCTGTGACGCCGTGGGTATCACCGAACCCCGCTGCTGAGGTCCTGACTAACAAAATCTACAGAACCAAAAGCCTGGTGGCGCGGACACGTCGGGTGTTGCCCGGCCCAAGCTTGGGAGCGTTCAATATGGAGGAGCAGGCATCTATGACTGCGAGAACCCAGGTGATATTGCTCTGACTTTCGATGACGGGCCGTACATTTACACCAACGACCTGCTTGACAAGTTAAAGGTTTGAGATGGCGCCCATATATGCCCAGACGTGATGCTAATCTAGAAACAGAGCTATGGGGCGAAAGCCACCTTCTTCATCACGGGAACCAACCTTGGAAAGGGAAAGATCAATGATCCCGCCACCATCTATCCTGCCATCATCAAAGTATGGACGCTTGTTACGGTCAAGAGCCTGCATAAACTAACATGATAACAGAGAATGCATGCCGAAGGGCATCAAGTTGCTAGTCACACCTGGGCTCATCAGAACGCTAGCCAGCTCACTAACCAACAATTCACCGATCATATGGTCTGGAATGAGATTGCGCTCAACTCTATCCTCGGTTTCTTTCCGACCTACATGCGGCCCCCTTATTCCATCTGCGAGAGGAACTGCCAGAGCATCCTGTCAACCCTCGGCTACCACATCATTTATTTCGACCTTGACACGGAGGGCTACCTTCACGATAGCCAGCAGGAGATCCAAACCAGCAAAAACATCTGGGACGACGCCATTGACGGCGCTAACCCATCCTCGGACAGCTACCTACAGATTGAGCACGACATCCACTACCAGACCGTGTACAACCTGACCGATTATGTCCTCACCTCCCTGTTTGCTGCGGGCTTCCGGGCCGTGACCGTGGGCGAGTGCCTGGGCGATCCTGCTACCAACTGGTACCGCACCGGACCGACCGGCGGCGTCGTCCCCAGCGGTTCAGTCGCTCCCACCTCGACAAGCACCCCGCCTACCGGCCCGACGAGGACGACCATTTCCGTGGCACCGACGCGCACTGGTGCGAGCATTGACGGTTCGTGCGGTAACGGCGTAACGTGCGCCGGCACCGAGTTTGGGTCCTGTTGCTCTGTGTTTGGTTACTGCGGCGTCGGCGACGACTTCTGCTCGGTCGACAGAGGATGCCAACCGGACTGGGGAACCTGTGGTGGCGACGGGACGGTGCCGAGCTCCTCTGTAAAGCCGACCTCGTCCGTGAAACCAACAACCTCAACCGCGAAGCCCCCAACCTCCTCCGCAAAACCACCCACCTCCTCGGCCAAACCGACCTCTTTCTCAACCAAAACCACCACCACCACCACAAACAAGTCCACTCGTAAGCCCTCCCCTTCCCCCATCGTGAACTAACCTGACCCTTCACCCCCCCACCAGCAGCCACATCCACCACCCCCAAGCCCACTCAAACCGGCCTCGCCATCAGCACCGACGGGCGCTGCGGTCCCGAAGTCAAGCAGACGTGCACGGGCAGCGGCCTTGGCAACTGCTGCAGCCCGGCGGGCAAGTGCAGCTCCAACACCATCTCGTGCTTGGCTATCTTGGGTTGTCAGGTGGGTTATGGCTCTTGTGTCTAATCTGATTTGGTTGGCTGGTTGGCTGGTTGGTGGTGGTGGCGGCGGGGAGGTCAGGTGGGTTAAGAGAGGGGAGAGGGGTTAAGAGAAAGGGGGGGAAGATGGGGGATATTGGAGGTTGAGGATGGAAAAACTCTGGTAGTTGTGTTTCGGTTGTTCTTTTCTTCTTCTTTTTGTGGGAAGGATATAATGTTCGGGTGTAATTACCGTCGGTTCAGAAACGAGGTTTTCCTTCTTTTGTTTAGCTCATAGGCATTCTAGGGGAAGCATCTTTCCAGACACAATTCCATGAGGATGGATGATAGAGATTGGTGCAACTTCCAGCCTCCATCCAGCATAATGGGATGGAACAGTGGGTGACCAGCATGGACGGCGAGGGGTAAGAGAGGGATAAACGTAAATTGTATCTATACAACGATGTTCTCTAAATGTCCCGCTGTGGGCATTAACCCACCTGAGGCGCTGAGCACCAAGAGTTGATTTGCGTGTTTTTGTGTGTGTTAGGTCCTGGCCGGCCTGCACAGCCAGTGTGCGTACCAGCAATTGATATCATCCAACGTTGCTCATACACATGCTACCCATCCATTCATTACCTCCATCGTTTGAGTGGTATAAGAGAAACGCTCGCGCCGCTGGTCGTAACCTAAATCACAATCAAAACACAAATTCCAACCCCGGAACCCAAATCCAAACGCCACATCTGTCTATCCCATTGCGCCGTGTGCTGCTTACTCGGCCTGCGAGGTAAAATCAAAAGTGAAACCGGGCGACGAAGGGAGAGCCTGAAAATCGTTGTCTTGGTAAAACATGTCGTAGGAATCATCGTGGTAGTCGGCCATGTACTGGTCGGTCAGGAACCCCACTTGGTTATGATGAGACAGAGAGGAAGAAGAGGACGACGGAGTGATGCCGCTGACCCGCGGAGTTTGTTGTGAGAGGCTTTTGCCCCACGGAATCCCTTCGCCCCCGGGAGTTCTTTTGGGCTCCTGGGCTGCCTCGGAGGAGGATGGGGGGGTCCGTGGCCTCAAGGGAGTTTCCAGTTGCCCTGCGTCTGCACCTGCGCCTACACCGGCGAGGAGATCGCCTAGGCTTCCGCGCCTGTTTTCGGTGCCATAGCCAGAGTCAGGGATCGACGGAAGGGGAGGCGGCCGATGGGGAAGAGTGTCCTTGGTTTGGTGGCTTGTCTGGTCACCTTGTTTCGCGTCTGGGAGCTCGGCATGCCGGGAGGGTGGGCTCGGCGGAACACGGTGGATGGTCGAGCGGGAGGCGGTGGTGAGACCGGAACTCATGCGCGACGGTGACTGGCGGGTGCCTTCCACTTCCTCCATGAAGGCATGCACGTCGACATCAGTGGACTGTGAGTCCATGTGCTGGACAAGGTTGTCTCGTTCAGAAATCGCTGGCGAGGTGGCGGAGTAGCTCTTCTTGGGCGAGCCCGAAGATGGCGGCTTGACATCGTGGTCTAGTGTTGTGGCAGGCTTAAGATTTTCTTGCATCAGGTGTTCGATCAGGAGGGCTTGCGCCATCCGCTCGAGCTGCTGGTGCCTTTCGCGCAAGGCTTCGTGTTCCATTTGCAACCTGCTGTGTTCGTCGGCGGGAACGAATCGCTCAGAGCCCGGGCCGGTGGCAGCAGGGTCTGCGAGCGAAAGAGTGACGGGCGACGGGACTGAGGTCGAAGGAGTTCTCGCCGCATCAAAATCATCGCCAACATCGAGAATGAGGGACTCATCGGGATAGTCGGAAACTCTTCCCAGCCCTGATTCGGCCTGCTGGGTTGACTCGGCGCTCAAGAAACGAGTTTCTGTTGAGCCTTGCAGCGGGGTGAAGCTCTTAAACAGAACACGCCACTTCTCCTTTTTCCCCTTAGAAACCCTCTGGCAATAACGGGACAAATGGTCGTCGAAGGCGGGGCGATTATCGAAAGTCCTCCAGCAGGATCGGCAGACGCCAACCCTTGGGTGCCTGAAGTCGGAATCTTGGACGTCGAAGGAATGGATGGCCCGCTCTGTCACAGTGAGGCGATGGGCCGGCCTACTTAGGTGCCGGCTGGGGCGCCAAGATCAGCATTGATGAGAGAGCGCTCGCAACGGGATAACTCACACTAGTGTCGAGATCTCTCGATGCACAGTGTGGCAAGGGGAGTATTTGTCCGACCGGTCCTTGTCGCTGTTGGGCCGTCCGTGTCAGCAACCTGGATTCACTGGTTCCTCCTCCCCAACCCGAAGCCGTCAACACATCGGTGACTCACTATAAAGTAGGGTGAGCATGGCGGAAGATGTCCGGCATGCTCATGTCGTCGAAGTCTTCGGTAGAATTGGGCTTTGTCTTCTTCTTCGGGCGGCCAACGTCTTCTCCGCTGCTGTTTTCGCATTTAGACGCGGGACGGGCTCTGGATGGGGTCGGCGTTCCCTGACCTGCTCCGGTTTTTTGGCTGGGATTCGGCCGCATGCTAGATGTCGACGCGGGAACTTGCTCCAAGTGGGCCAGGGGGGCCTCAACCGGCTCGTACTTCCTTTTCCTCGGAATCGCCGTGTCGAGAGTCAAAATGGGGGATTCGACCTTGATCGTAACATTCGCGGTGAAAGGTACTGGGTGGCCGATTTTTGGGTAGTGCTGGAGACCGTGAGACGGAAAGTTAGAGAGCGCAAGGCCCGGTCCAACTCCGTAGGTGCCGACGGCCGTGCTCGCGTTTGCTTGCATGCTGTTGTAGGTCTGGCTGAACCTCTCAAGGACTAGTTCGTTGTCCCGCAACCGGGTTGTTGGTGATGTCCAGGGAAGATAGGACTCGACATTGTGGGCGTCGGCGTAATGGGAGTAAAGGTTGTCGTCATGGTCACCGATTGCGTCTTCTTGATCATCAAAGAGAATGAAGTCAACGCCGGCTGGTGGGGTAATTAGGGACCGCGGGGAGGCAGAGGCAGGCGTGTTTCTGAGATCGGTATCAAGCATCATGCCGTGGTTATTTAGCGGGTACCCGTCATCATCAAGCTTCTGTTGGGCTACCGCGCGGCTGCCTTTTGATTTGCTCCGGACATATTCCCAGTTATGGGCCTTCTCCATATGTTGCTTGCAATTTGATTCCCGTTTTGACCAGTAGGTGCACGGCCGGAACAAGCAGGGAAAGGTGCGTGGGGTTGCGGAATGTTTGTCGTTATTGTGTCGCTCCAGCTCCTTTGCTGTGGGCCAACCGAAGGTGTGGTATTTGCATGTTGGGTCCTTGCATTTGTATGGCCGGGTATGTGATTTTGAGTGCTTGTTAAGATCACAAAGCCGGACGAAGCTCTTGGAGCATTGTGGGCAAACATGCGCGGCCAAGGTACCGGCGTTGGGGCCGACCTGGGATGCCATTAGATCGCTACCTATGGGAGGTTCCACGGCGGGGCACAGGGGTGCGAGGTGAGGGCGAAGGCGAGGGCGAGGGCGAGGGATAAGAGCTGTCGATGGGGTAGAGATAGGTTGTCGCCGGGTTGCCGAGGAGGAAGGTTTTAAGAAAGCCTGAGGATGGTCCAAGTTTCACCACGAAGATACTCGGAAGGTCGCGGGGGCGGCGAGATGAAGCGGCAAGGAAGCGAGCGGTTCTTTAAGGTGCGGAAGGATGAATCCGATGAAGGTGTGGGGACGAGGAGACCCGTGGTGCGGCGAGGTAAGAAGGGGGGTGTGTGGTGAGGAAGGAGCAACGAGCAACGAGCAAGGAGCAAGGAAGGATGTGTGTGGTCCGCGGTCACCCAGAAGCGGGTTGTTGGTCCAGGCAACCAGTGCCGTGAGGGGAACCCGGGGAAAGCAGGCCTCAAAAGTTATAGCCCGGAAGACATGGCGGAAAGTTTTGACGATTTCGGAAAGGAACGAGGGAAAGTGGGCGTGCTTGCGTGTAAGGATGAGTATGTGCGAGTCGAGTCGCAAGGGTCGAGTTGTTGCAGACCCCAAGATATCGAGACTAGGCAGCGGCGGAGACCTCTTATACACTCTGCAGGAGGGGTTCTCGAGTTGGCCTCAGCCTTGTGGGGCACCAGGGTTTAGAGTAGACGACGTCTAAATATACTAAAGAAGAAAAAGTGCAGGGCCCCAACGGGAGGATGACAGATTTTTGAGGGGGCTAGACACAAGCTGTGTTATTTTCCGTGTTGGGTATTGTGCATGGATGCTGTGCGCTGTGTGTATGTGTGTGTTGCTGTATTCAGTGTTTTCTGCCAATGTGTGCTGTGTGATGTTGTGCTGCGAGTGCTGTACTGCAGCCAGCCCGGACAGGTGGGGGTGAGTATGGAAACTGCGCAGATGTGCGAGACTCGGAAAAGAGTTAGTCTGGAGATGCAGATGTCGGAACCTCCTACCATTGGGAGGAAGAATGGGACAGGCGGCCGCTCCCATTTTAGATGACTTGCTTCGACTTCGGATGGGGCGTGAGGAAAAAGGCGTGGGGAAGGTGGTCGGTTGGTTCGCACATCAGACGGCTGCGCATTCTCTGCGCAGAGGCTCAGCGGCCGCCTTGCAGGACTTCCCCCGCCTGATGCACTTACACGCCAGGACCACTGGCAAGGACCGCTCCAACGGTCTTGCCCTCAGTCCTCCGTCCTCAGGCGGCGGTGCACGGACCACGTCACCTCCGTCCTCGATTGAACACCCAATCAGAGAGACGAAATCGGTGCAATGAAGATGCCGGGTCGCGGCGTGACAACTGAAGCAAGCGGTTTGCCAAAAGAGCCGACGCCCTACGCCCTGCCGTCATCCCGCGTCTTGACGTTTTCTCCATCTCCATCGCATGCAATGCCGATAGATCCGCTGGAGTCCTAGGTGAGGCGATGCATCGCTGAAGCCCCAAGAGCCTCTTCAAACTGCGCGAATTGGCTAGTTGGTATTGTCGAGAAAGTTGGGTTTGTCGTGTTGTCAGAGGCCAGCTTCCCACTCCGTCAGACTTGGCAAAAACCCGATTGTCGCCGTAAACCCCCGGCAGCCACAGCCCCGAGCGGCCGACCGTCTCCAGAGGCCATGGCTGTGTCGCAAAGCGTCCCATAATAATCCCGCTTTCCGGTCCAGGCCCAGCCGATGAGTGGCTAGTCTGAAAAATCAGGTTTGAAATTGTCAGCCTGCCAAAATGCCTGGCAATCTGCTGTTCGTTTTGCCTGGATGTGTTGTTGTCTGCCCGCCGCCTTTTCGGTTGCGTCACGTGCTCCGTCGGAAAGAAGTCGCCCACCGGACGAGTCACGGATTGTCGTCATTGTCTTCCCGGTTGCTTCAACGAATCGCCGATAAAAGGATCGCTTGGTCGCCCAAAACGAGGTTTGCCGTCAAGTCCCGGAGGATGCCCCCACCAACCCCCTCGATTGTTTTGGTCACTTTTGCGCTTGCCTTGACCACGATGAATCCGATGAACCCTAATTGAATTTCACTCAAAAAGCGGAGGTCAACGGGCCTAGATGACGCAAGGCCGCTCCATCACAAGGTCATGCCCAGCCCCTAAAAACGATACATCACTGGATGTGCGAAACCGTGGCCATGCGAATGGCCCAACTCTCAAGAGCAAACAGGGCACTTGCACCTGCCACCTACCGCCCATGCCACAGCCCGTAGACCAGAGGTTTTGCCAGGACAAGGCCGGTAAAATGAAATGAAATGGTGACGATTTAAACAGAGAGCATCGGCCCGGATCAAGACCATTGATCAGACGCCGAGGCCGAGGCGGGGTTCCGATGGATGACTCGGGCTCCAGTTTCCCAGGGCCTTGACCGACCCGGGCAGGACCCGGAGCTCGCCACCTCACTAACTACCTCCAGACTGGCACGATATCCAAGCCGGTAGGCGTGGGCAGAGTTGGCAAGCTTGCAGGTCGAGCGGCCAACTGGGGCTAGTAAATCGAAAGGGATTCTGAACAAACAGTTCCCCAACTGTTGGCAGGTGGCAGGCAATGGCGGTAAATGTAACCTAAAAAAAATCAAAAAATCCGAGGGCTGCGCAGGACAAACGAAATCTTTGCGCGACGGGGTCGACTCGCATCCTTCTCAGCGCGTTCCAAGGCAGTTGGAGATGTGGGTGTGACGATCGGTCATATACACGCAAGACAGCACAGCCTCTGTTCGCTGATTCCACTCTACGCGTATGCTTTATGATCTTGGCTGATTTCGCGAGATGGTGGAGCATTTAACGTTGAATCTCGGCGTTTGTGGGGATGGCCCTGGCCGCCAGGGGGATTGGGAGGCGCCAGGGGCAAGGTCAGCGCATTTGCATCTAAGATAATCTGACTGGACCAGTCTCAGCCAGTCTTTCTCGGTGCAAATTTCCAGAATTCAAGCGGTTGGCAGGCACAACGGAAACATGGAAACACGAGAAGACGGAAGGAGCGATGATCGTTGCTGACGGATCTTTTGACACTCCCCCCAGTGCCCCTCTCGTCTGCCGACCATGCCGGAGTTTCTTCCTTCCAGCATTTATCCCCGAAACGTTGCTGATCACCTCCACCGCCTGCTCCTGCTGCTTTCCGGGTCAGTGTGAACAACAACGAGGAGCAGATCCACGATTGACCGTTCCAGAGATCCGATAAAATTAGTTGAGCACTTTCGGCAATCAACAACCGCTGACAACGCGGTGGCGCGTGGTCCAGGCTCATGTCTCGCTTTTCGTGATGGAAAACCTTATCTCGCTTGCATGTCTCCTCTCAGGGCCTTTGGCCGAGAAGGAGGGTTGCCGTGGTCGAATGGGGAGACAGTTTGCAACACGTACCTGCATTAGCGCTCCGCCCACAGCAACCACCTCCGCAAAAAAAAAATGGCTCGTCCAGCTCGTCCCTTGTCTTCACACAGTGTCAGCTCCCATGGCTGACAGAGACAGGGCTGATCTGCTGGTGCGACCGGTTCTGGTAGTTGTCATACCCAAGAAAGCGGTGTCATGGTGGTTGGTGTACCTGAGGGCGGCGAGCACAATCAGAGATTCAATGTTGGAGAAAAGGAACCTGGGATTGGTGTGCCGTTCCTCGTCCGAACTCCTGGAACCGGGGAACGTCACTCATTACTGTGTCCTTTCAAAAGGAGGGACCGATCGCCTCCCACATGGGATGAAATGTCGACTCCCACTTTCACTCTTGTCCACACTTGCCCCTCGCGTGTCCACAGTACACAGTGCTTCACCAACACGCGGGGGACTCCCACATGCTGTCGGGTGGCTCCAGACATTGGCAAACTAAGCATCTCCTTTTCGGCCCTTGTCGCTGCTTGTTCAGTGGCAAATGCGACATGGCGACAAAATTGCTCCCCAGACAAGTGGGACCCCTATCACAAGAAAGGACGGGGGGGAGCCAAATCAAGGCGCTGCATGGATGGGTTCATTTCATGGATGGTTGGCCGAAGCGCTTCCCCTCCCCCCTCCATTGACAACCTTCGTACCCCGGCTCGGCGCTGGCTGGATAGGGATGCCGGACCGCAAACACAGCGGCAATGCGGCCGTTGCGTTGTCACTGGGACCCGCCCGCCACTTGCGGAGCTGCAATGTTCCCTTCCAATGCTCTCCAATGTTGCCCTCCACCGAGCCCCTGGATTAGCGTCCTCCGAATCGGGCAGCCGGCGCTGACGAGCAATTTCCCGCCTTCTCTGCGGAGCGGTGGACAAGCTCGTCGACCTATTTAACGATGGCCTGTTGTCCAGTCTCGAGTCCGGCTTTTTTTTTCTTCTTTCCTCAGCTCACTCAAGCCAATCAATCTAAGCCCAGCTCTTGACTTCGGTCGTCCACTCTTTCAAACACTTCCAAAGCTTCTTGCTTTCGTCAATCTTTCCAACCTAAAACAACACCCTCTTCGTTTTTACGAACAACCCCAAACAGTCGCCAATATGCGTTTCGCTCTTGCTACCGTTGCCCTCGCCGGTGCCGCCCTGGCCCACGGCCACGAGGAGGAGGCCCAGAGCACTGTTTACTCGACCGAGTACTACACCATCACGTCGTGTGCCCCGGAGGTCCCTGACTGCCCGGCCACCGCCACCGTCGTCACGTCCTCGGTCGTCTCCCTGACCACCTCGACCGTCTACAGCACCACCACCAAGACGATCACCGACTGCCCGGACACCGTCTCCAACTGCCCGGCTGACTCCACCACCGTGGTCACCGAGACCGTCGCCGTCTCCACCACCGTCTGCCCGGTCGAGCCCACCGAGACCCCTGAGCAGCCCGAGGAGACCGCCACCGAGAGCCCCGAGGAGCCTGAGGAGACCGAGACCCCCGAGGTCCCGGAGCCCTCCGGCTCGTTCGTTGAGCCCCCCGTCGTCAGCTCCACCCTCGTCACTGAGGCCCCTGCCTGCCCCACCACCTCCGTCAAGACCATCAAGACCTCCATCACCACGGTCATCCCCACCATCATCTACGAGACCGTCGAGGTCCCCTGCGAGACCGCCGCTCCCCCCCAGAGCACCCCCTCGTCGGTCCCCACTGGCACCCGCCCCGGCGGCCCCATCGAGACTGCCGGTGCCGCCACCTTCGGCGCCTCGGCTCTCTTCGCCGCTGCTGCCGGCCTCTTCGCCCTCATGGCTTAAATTCACTTCACCTAAGTTTCAGTCCCCTGACGCATAGGCGGAGTTGGATGAGAAGTCTAGCGAAGGCTACTTGATGGAAGGGTTGGATGACTTTTTTGGATTCTTCTGGAAGGTAGCGGATTAATGGCATGATACCTCTGTGTACTTAATCTTCTAATTGTATTTTTTTGGCGTTCATGTATGGAACGGCTTATGAACGTCTTTTTTTACCCCCTCAAATAATTTTGATGATGACCTTATTCAAACCTAAAATTACGTGTGCAGCTTGACTATTTTTTCTGAACTTCTGTCTCCCATCTCCTATGATCCAGCGTAAGCCTCCCAAAGACCCCTGAAATCTGATGTTGATGGGTTGTGTGTGGGGAGGAAGGCACGTCACGTCACTCATTTCCCAAGTGGGTCTACTCGGAAATTGCGTTGAGTTGATCTACCCCGGTTGATTGGCTATCAGATCACCAGAGGTCCATCGTGTTTGTTTCAACCCCAGTTTTTCGGTTGCCCGTTTTTAGCCCATGGGCGGCAGGCGGCTCGCTCGCAAACCCCAGGACCGACACCCGTGGATACTTGACTGCCAGGGGGCATCCATGGATCCATGGGTTGATTGAAGGTTCTTTTGGGCTGACTGAGAGCAACCTCACTGTGGACGCGCTGTTTTCTGCCGCCTGTGCTGCATGAACAGAGTCCCTTGGTTTAATGGGAGGGCTACAGCAGCAATAGGCAGCCAACTTTGGGAGGCCATCCCTCAGCTAACGTTACTTGCCAGCATTGACCAGATACTCACACGGAGGGCTTTCTTCCCCCAAAGTTCCCCGTCTCTCAGTCAGCCAGCCAAATTGCTGTCAGCCAGCTGAAAGTGACACTGTCAGACTGGGATTTTCTCCCCAGCACCCAGCACCCAGCACCCAGCACCCAGCACCCAGCAACCAGCACCCGGGCAGCACCCCAGCGTAGTTAGTTACCGGCTTCTCTACCAGATCGGGGCAAAACCACCACACCGCGAGACCGAGATGTTGCGTTTTTACGGGCGACTTTGGCCCGAGGCAGATGGAACCGCGCGCTCCTGCCGGGAGTCCAGTTCGTTATCTTCACCGCTGTTTTGCTGCCAGACCGTATCGCTGTCGCTCCTTCGTGATCCTCTCTCTCTCCCTCTCTCGTATCCGTCCATCCCCCCCCCCACCGGCCACCCACTCCCCATACTGCTAGCCTCGTACAGTATCTCTCTTGTCTGTCGCGCACGAAGTCGGCAACCCCTCCACCCGGGTTATTCCGGGCCTCCACCATTTGAACCAGCGGTCTGTCGGTCGGTCAATCGCCGGTCGGCCACTCCGGTGAATGACGATGGGGACGGAATCGGTATTTCTAGCCAGCTCCATCCTGATCCCTAACTCGGTTCGGTGACTGTGGTGGGTGTTTTTTTTTTTTATTATTTTGTTGTGTGCTTTCTTTGGCCTGCATGTCTGCTGCCCACCTGCGTGGCTTGGCTGGATGGATGACGTCTCTCCCATTCTGTCTGTCC